CTGTCATGCCTGTGGGCACTTCAAACAAGGCCGGGGTTGGCAGGGCTCCGTGGGATGGAAGCATTGCCCAGCATGCAGGCACAGAACGACGTGATCCGCAAAAAGGCTGGTGGTTCCAAGAAGGACAGCCAGCCTTCAGCAAGCATGTGCCGAATATGAAAATCTGACAAGATGTGCTTACAGACGTTGAGAAAGTTGGACAATAGTAATCACAATGGCTTTGGATGTTCAGGAGCAAACTGAGGAGGACGGATTGTCAGCAACGGGCAATTTGGGTAGTTTTGCTTTGTAGTACATGGTTTGAGTAGCGAGCAACCGGCTTGCTTCCAAGACGCGCAGGACGTCGAGTTCAAGAAGAAGCAGGCTTTGACGTTTGGTGATGCCCAATTGAATGTAGCTATGTAAGTTCTATCAATGTTCATTGAAGCAAAGAACTTGAAAAGTATCGCGCAAACTTACATAAACTTAGAACCAATATCCCAAACAACTCAAGATCAAAGCATATCTGCACTTTGGCACAGCCAAACCCTTCGCAGAAAATGGAAGGCGATTGTGTGAGCATTGCTGTCTAGCACATCTTTAGTAGTTGGAAGCTTTCACGCCTCTCAGGCAGAAGAGAAGAAGGCTATGGCTGCAGCCGCCAAGGCCGTGTTGGGGTTGAACACGGCCACTGAGTGATATGGGTATTTCTTATGCGCCGTGCATGGCCAGTCGATGGGAAAGAAGAAGTGTTCACCTCAGTTTTTTGTTCTCATGCCGTTCCTGGCATCAACTTGCTGAATCCCATGAGAATTCTGGAGCCGCAGTGTGAAGTTCCGATCTTAGGTGAGAAGGGGGTCCGGGACAGCCTGCTGCTTTTGAGCGCAAGGCGTTGATCATAGCACGTAGCAGCATCGCACCATCATGCCAGCTCGAAGATCCCAGACCAGTTCTGGTACTTGCAGTCTATTCAACGCGTATAAAGTTCAAAAACAAGTTCAGAAAAGTACAAAAATGCTTCAAAGGAGTTGGGATTGAATTAAGCTGGCATGGCAGCGCCTGCGGAGCTGGCACTACAGCGCCACGGAGGTCCACAGAGAGCTGTCACAGAGCCAGCAAGACCGGCACATAGGGGGCCGGCAGGCAACAGACCGCACTGGAACCGGATTGAACATGCTGTGCATCGTTGTGCCCTTGTTTTGAAGTTTCCTGTCACCTCCCAAATAGCTTCCCTAGTTGATGCTGGCGACAGTTGGAATGCCTGCTTCAAGATCTGATCTCAGCCAAGGGACAACTTTATCAAAGCATTCGAGCGCTTTGCATTGCATTGCCACACAAGCCGGCAAAACACTAAAAAATTGCTTGTGCAACCCGACGTGCTACCCGCCATGGTTTGGTGGCGAACCTTTGCGCCGTGCTTGGCACTGTGCAGGCAAATGGGATCTGGTGCGTCAGAGTCATGGGAGATTGAAGCTCGTGGTTGTTTGTAAGGCCGTGCGAGCAGGTGAAGTCGGCACACTGTAGCAGCTTCGTGCTTTTGTTTGGGTTCCCTGCCAGTCTTGGTTTGAACGCCGACGGCGTTGTGTCCGCAGCGGCAGCTGGTGACCGCCCCAAGCTCCAAGCAGCAAAGTGTGATGAGCAAACTTAGGAGCTTTCGCCAGCATTGTGCCGAATCGGTGATGAACCACATAAAGCAAACACTGCACGAGGTGCGTGTGGAAACGACACACAGCTGACCGATGTTTTCACGTCGGCGACGTGGGAACTGAATGCCACGCACATACTTGCGACTGACTGTGGCATTCTCCCAGAAGAAAATGGCGACTTGACTGACAATCCATATTATTAACATCAAGCACTTTTTGAATCTATTGAGTATGAAATTGCACGTCTGCTCTTATTCTGGAACTGTGGTTGGCTTGGGATCAGGCGGCCAGCACATCTGGCATGATTTCGCTGACCGAGCTGCGCAGGTCCGTCTGTCGTCATTGGCTCACGAATAGGTGAGTAGATAGTCTGGCACTGTTCATGTCAACATGCAGATCCTGGGAATGCCAAAACTCATCAGGAGCGGCTAGGTGCTGGAGATGTTTGCAGCGGACATCGGTGCGACAAGGTGCGCATGGGCGCCATGTCGGAACACAGGATGCTTGTTGCTTCAGTGTTGCAGCATGGCCATCATGAAACCTGACCGGGACTCACTGCGGAGGAGGCCTGTCCATGTGGCCTCTTGGTTGCAAGTGTTCGGAAGTCAAGCGTTCTTAGCGTGAATAACATGCAGCATACTTGGTCCTCTCCCTGCAGCACGATATTGGTGTATGTTTTTGTTGTTAGCTGTGTTTATCTTTGGTTAACTTGTGTGACTTTATCCGGAAGTCGTTACTCAGTGTCTGGAATCCACAGGCTTGCACCTCAACTCAGTGTGCATGTATATATATATATGTATATTATTATTATTATTATTATTATTATTTTATTATTTTTTTTTTTTGGGGGGGGGGGGGGGGGGGGCGGGGGGGGGGGGGGGCGGGGGGGGGGGGGGGTGGGTATTAAAAACTGTGCTTTTTGTTTTCTCTCTCAGCTGCAGTGCAAATCCTCGGCGTCCGAAGCTGTCCAAAATGCGTTTGCAGTGCCTCGCAGTCCAAGTTTTCGTAACACTGTCATCGTTTTGTTCTTGCAAAACGTCCAAGCCTATGGATTCTCGTAACTGTCATCGTTTCCGATGGTCGTCGCGGCATATTCAAATCGCCGACATCCTCGTAGCCAGGCGGTCGGACTTGTGTTGTCGGGTCAGCATGAGGGATCCTTCAGCCCAAAGCCTGAAGTAGTACATTCCTTACACCTTGCAAGTTCAAGCCTTGTACACCCTGACGCGGCTCGAGCTGCGAGCGAGCGTGAAAGAGCCGTAAACTGCAGCGTTGGTGGTTTTAGGAAACCTCTCTGGCGTCGCTTGATCAGCGCGGTGTGCTTTAACAAGATGTCATTGTTACCGCATCGGTCTACGGTGCCGCAGGATGAACAGATTGGGTTTCAAGGAAGCATCGGTTGCATCACATGATGAGACGGATGAGTTCCAGCACGTGGTGGATTTGAACCAAATGTACAGAGGCCGAGATTGTGATGCTTGTAGTGTCAGTAGAAGCTTCTCGCATCAAAAGATGGCTGCGTGAGATCGCGTGACTGTCCGGTTCCGTATGTGGCATCCAAGGATGTGAGTGCGGTACTGCCGCAGATCCCGGCCTTTGCTACGTGCCCAAGATGCTGCCGGTAGTGTGAAACGTGTGCGGTGGGAAAGACGAAAGGTGCCGCTGTCGTCCATGTGCTCCTATTGCCATGCTCGCGCTTGTCTTGAAAACCGATATACTTCCCACCCGGTGTAGAACTCAACTCAGCGAAAGACTCGTCAGCTTCGGCTTGCAGTCAGATGCCACAGCCAGAGCCCGAAGCACGGAGGAATTCCGGTATTCCCTCGTCCTGGACTCTCCTGATCTTCACCTGGATGACAAGCCCATCACAGCCCATCACAGCACACTAAAGCCCACTAACGCCCACTAAGCCCATTAGTCCCCCCTTACTTCGTTGCTTATGGATGTAGCCGTTCCGTGGGATGGCTCGCCTCCTTGGCCTTCGTGGTGTGCCCGTCACACATGGTCCGCTGGAGAGACACCCGGCAGCCCGGGCATCCTTGTCGGTTCAGCGAGGAGTCAAGACACTGCGTTCACACTCGAATGCAAGCTTGAAGCACAATGCCCAAACCCCGCCATCAGGTTTCCAGGCCCCAAGGATAGGATAGCATCGGATAGCAGCAGCCGGGCGCCATTGCTGAGGACTTGCTACGGTCTGCCACAGAGAATGGCGTCGTTGTGCAGGCTTGCCTGTTCGTACGTCGACTCTTGAACATTCTTCACATCCACGTGTGATGCAGGGTCGCGAGGAGCCGCCAGCTGCCAGCTCGGCGCAGAATGGCACAGATGGCGCAGAGTCCTTACCAGAGGCACGCAACCGACGTCAACCCACACAACCCACACAACAGGGGGTGGCTCAGGGGCTTAGCAGGGCTCAGGAACCTTCCTGATTCGCTCGTTTGAGGAGCCCGAGGACGATGACCTGCCTCCATTGGTCTCCCACGAACTCGAGGACCTTTCGAACTAGGACCCATGTGAGGTTCTGGAAAGCAAACGCACACCACTTTACGTATTCATTGGATATAGCAGTGGCAAGTCAGGCCTTGTAAATGCATCACAAGTCCATAGCACGATCAGTCCTTGCAGCAATGGGGGTTTCGGTGGCAAAGGTCGTGGATGGTCGCAATACTAGGTGCTTGGTAGCCCAGTGGTCCGCTTTACCCTTTTGTTGGTTCTGGCTTCCCTTCTAAAGTAACCAACCAAAAAAGGGTGCTCTTATTATCATATGGTTACGGGGCTACTAAGGCTGCGAACGTTGCCAAAGTCTTAGACCGCAACAAAGCTGGCAGTCCCAAGTATATCGGTTGTATGGGCCATCAAAATGCAGGTGGGGGCGGGGATGAAAACTTGAAGTGACGCATAGTGGCATCTGTAGTAGATAGCAGGGCTTTGATACTGCAATGCCGGCTTAACCTCGGCCGAAACACCTTCGCTTTTGTACCTTAGGTCGTTCTTGCCCGAGTGGAGGTCGCGTTTTCGTTTTGTGTCTGGATCTCGTGCTGACTGTGTGGCTGACATACCTGGCCAATTTTCTTAAAAGCTGGATGATTTGGGTTGGGCTTCTACGCTTTTGCCAGCAGAATGCTTGACACCGGCATTTTAAGCCGAACAGGGTTCCAGTCTTGCCGAGGCACTGCCAGCCTTGTATATAGTGTTCACAGTGCAAGGTGTCGATGATAAGCTCTGTGGCAATGGAAGTCAAGCTGCTTCGCAGTCACACGCGACATATGATGATGATAAAGAATGCAGAGTAGGTCCACGCTTTTAATCATCTTTTGTAAGACCGAGGGGACGGTCAAGCAGCGAACCAGCCTTTCCAGGAGTGCCCTTTGGGAGATGGCGCGCCGCGGTCGGAGGCAGATCCCAGGACTTCAGACACGTCTCCTTACCTTTATCAGCTATGCCACATGTCTCTTGATGGTTGCAGGGTGCGAGGGTCGAGAGGCCACCCGCAACCGATCACAGCCACGGGCCGTGGTCGGGTGGCTTCAGAGTGAAAACCTTGAGCTTTTCGATCGAAAAGATCCTCGAAGTACAAGCTATTCACAGTTGGACCCCAACACTAGCATCCGAGAGAGGCGCTACTGGTTGTAGCATACCTTCAGAGCCCCCTCCAGGACCGACATGGACACAAAGGAGTGCGCAGAGGATAAGCCTGACGAGGACAACGACCAGGCCCTCTGCAGCAAGTCCGTACAGCACAATGTTCAACTCTGCCAAGTTACAACATGTTTGCTGGAAGTCGCACGAGCCACTGTACCATCATTCAACCCTAAACCCTAAACCCTGCCTGCGTTTTGGACATGTTTCTATTCGAAGGCTCCGAGGAATTATGAGTGGGGTTGTTGTGCAGAGGCATAATGAATCAATATTATCGTGTCTCGCGACACCGTCAAAAAATGCGTGGTATCATACATATCAGTTGTTGTTGTTTGTCGATTTAGGTTTGCTATTATCTTCAAGAAAGGAAAGAGCGAGATGTTGGGTTCTTAAGTATAAGCGCACAAACACACAGCGAATCCTGCATGCAAACAGCATAAAACCAAATGTACCGGCAGGTGTTCCAAAGCATAGTCTTTATGATAGAAACGACAACGAAGGACCCGTGCATCGTGTGCAGGTGTAGAGCTAACTAACTACATATATACATATATATATATATATAATATGTAGGTGTTTGTATATATATATATATATGTATACATATGTATATATATATATACATATTTATATGTCTCTGCGTGTGTCAAATGCGGAAACGGGTTAACCGTAAACCCTAAACCACATTTGACAGCTCCTTTCTTGTCCCCCAAAGGTGGAAGAGGTCGAGGAGGAGTCGGAGCTGGTGTTCGATGAGGTCGAGGAGGTTGATGAGGAGATTGCGGTGGGGGGTTAGAAAAAGGTTCAGGGCTGCTCGTCTTCTTTCAAGAGGCTGTCGAGCCCAGATGCCTTTAAACATTTTGAGTCAGCAGCTGTTGCAGAGACTACACAGGCATCTGAAGGTGATCATGTGGATATTCCATTGCCTGCCCGTAGGGTTCAATGGTGAATCTTACCTTCGCTAAAGGAGCTCTTTGAGATGGAGGAGGCCTTGTCCAGTCCTGCGCGCCCGAAGCCAGAGGCTGGGTTCTAAGCCCCTCTTGGCCATAAACAGCAAGCAGCTTTAAGAGAGTTTCTCCGGCCTGCACAGGGAATATCTGATGGCCCATGGTATGCTGGCGGCTTTGAGATGCTTGGCTGCAAGGAGGCCAAGTTCGGCAAAGTGGGACCAAAATCTGTGGCCTCAGTTCAGGCATTTCTTGCCCGTGTTGTATTTTGTTTGAGGACAAGTTGCAGTCCTGGAAGCACTTACCGCGGCTGTTGTGCTAGCTTGCTTTCTCTTCTGCGCTTAGAAACCTTAGAAATTTTGTCAAGACGATGGAAGTGGCGGACTGCGCATTGAACTTGTCGCTGCCTCTGTTTTTAAGGTTCTTCGCGGCCTTTGACTCTGGCAACCTTTGCGGAGCTGCGCTGGCGAGGCCATGTGAAAGCCAGGACCACTTGGCCAAGAAGGACAGGCGTAGATTTCGGGCAGCTGTGACATGTGCCTTTCCGTGTGCGTATCTATATGTTCGTTTCCTTTGTCTATTTATTCATTTTAGTCCGCCTCTGGTTTTAAGAGCATGTCGTAGGTAGTACCTAGCAGAAGCTAACATATAAAGTAGCAGATGGCAGACTGGCGGCATTATTGCCGAACATGCAATGGACAATTTTTGTCGCAATAAATGTATATGTACATACTTGTATGGTATTCTCTAGCTTTGTACAATGCATTCTGGAGCAATCATTTGCAGGATGATGTAGTTTCTTCGACTCGTAAAACGCAGTACTTCTTCTGTCCAGTGTTTATGGTATGATTCGTATGATCTAGGTTTGGAAATGGAACAAGTAGCATTCTTGTCTTGCTACTCTGGTGATGACACAAGCAAGTCGGAGGCATGACCGCAGAATAGGAGGTACGATGTTGTCTTCGACAAAGGATCACATGCTGTCAAAGGCTTTGGTGTTGGAGGGGCGGGCATGGGCTGAAGTTTATGTGGTGGGGTTGGGGCTGCAGTGATCCCATGTGATCAAGTGGAGTCGAAGAAAAGAAGTTGCAATTGTTTTTCCCCGCTTCCCTATGGCGAATATGTACGAGACTCGTAGGCCGGGCTTCTGGCCGGCGATTTTTCATGTTGGGCGACATGATCTCGCTGTCTTGAGAGGGCCACATTTTGGGAGACAAGCTGTCGTTTGACATGACAATAAGTTGTGAGAAGCGTAGATGGAATTCAAAGTAACACATCTAGACCAGGTGACCGAGAACTTGGCTTGATGAGACGTGCTTGAAGGACCTGCGAGCTGCAGACGTGGTTTGGGCGGCGGCAGAGCCCCAAAAAGGAACCTGGGCTATTCACCGCATCCCTCAAAGGACTCATTGTGCTTTTGAATTCCCTACTTCAGGCAAGCTGCTGTACAAGATGACCCAGAGCTGCGCAGTGCGGAGAGAGCCCCATCCTAAAGCGAAGCTTGTCACCAAGAAGTCCACTTCTCAGTCGATCCGGAAATCTTTGAACATGTGTGAACGAAGTGTGGACGGAGCAAATGGAGCGGTGTGCTTCTGAGCGGGGAAGTATGCAGACAGACTAAGGTCTGCTGGTGCGCGCCTGAACCTTGCCTTGCAAAGATCCTCTGAGCGGGACTCTGCCTACAGATGCCTAGACAAATGCCCACACAGATGCCTAAACAAGTCATACGGCATGCCCTTGCTGTGGCCTTGATCCTTTGTCTTGTGCCAAGTGAGATCCTCCGCAAGGTATGCTAGCCGCAGGGTGACGCTCAGCGGGTGGCAGAAGTTGGCAGACGAGGCCCCCCCATGCCAAGCCTTTTTTCACCGCAGGATGCACATCAGTGCACCGTAGACTGTCGCTTCTGCAGAGCGCAGGACGGCTGGGCTCAGCTGGGTCCGGCTTCAGCAGAAATGGAAAGCACGGAGGCGGAGCTTCTGCGCAGGGGCCACAGAAGAGCTTGGCGAGGGACTGTTTGATCTGTTTGCGGCGTTTGGCTGATCTTCTGTGACTGCGGTTAAAGGAAGGGGGTCGCCGCATCGTCGTCATGGTTCCTATGATGCCGTCCCTCCTTCAACAAGAAGCGAACGCCAAGGTTTTGCACCGCAAGATCAGAAGAGCTGCGATGCTCAAGGCGAGGAGACAGAGAAGTGCCAGGAAAGCACGCTGATTCCATTAACGATTCGGATCCTGTGACAGGCTCGGGGGACGAGAACATGTCCGAAAATGCTTCCCCGCGCCCTTGCTTGAGATGCTGTTCGTTGGCGTTTGAGCATTGTAAGTTCACTTCACGTCAGGTCACCTTCTCATGTAGTTGGATATCCGTCGGCCAAACCATGTGCAGAGCGCCGCGATTGACTCACAATCTCCCATGCATTCGCCGGAAATATCCGGAAATTCAGATCTTGCTGTGGCAATGCGTTCATTGGTTCGCAGGCACCGGACCATTCCAAAGAACAGCACCCTTCAAGAGGTATGAGCATGAGGGTCAGAATCATTCACTGACGTGTTCTGCTGAATCCTCACACATTGGATGTCCCCTTTGTCGGCCAATGACTCGAGGCAGCACCAGATTGCTGAGCCCAGCACCAAGAGCACTGGCTGTGAAGGCAGGCTCCATGTGCAAAGTTGGAACGATAACTTCGAACTACTTTGAACTTTGAGAAACACTTGCTTTTTCTCCATCTTCAAACCTCGACCCTCATCAAATGTGCGAGTGGAGATGTCAGGATATCCGAGCCCTGCCGCGCCTGCTCCAGTGTCGCCTGCTCCAGCCATGGACAGCCTTTGCTTCGAGGTCACCGTACCTTTCTGGCAACTTTGAGTTCCCGACGTCCGCAAGTTGACATAGCTGGGCATAGACAACATGGTGTTTGGTTGCTCCAGCGTGCTACACTGAGAGCATGCACACCCCCCCAACTGCATGAGGCCAAGACCATATGACACCAACTTACCACACGTGTTCTGCAGTTTCATGCGTTTGTAAGACAATCGAGGCCCGTGCAGACTGTGCCGGCACACCATTCGCCAGCGAGGCACGCGTCCTGCACTCTCCCCCCACATGGCTGCACGGTGTGATGCAAACCGAGTCTAGCAGCCTGAGCTGCATAAGCCATTATAAGCCATGAACCTAAGCCCAAGCCCGCCTCTGAAGTGATCAGTGCGAGTATTGTTTCAGCTTTCACTTGCTGCATCTTTGGCACAGTAGCTTGCCGCCCCCTTGAATATAATCCCGCATTCCGAATGAATCGGTTTGGCTACAGGCACGCCATCCCATCTTCCCCTTACTGTGACTATACTGTTGTCCGCATGGTGCAGGCTACTCCTCCAAGCTCTAACTGCACCCAATATGGAACCTGTCAATCTCTTTAACGTACGGCCCAGCGCTAGCAATTAACACGGATAGAGCAGCACGAAATAAACACCACGAAACAATACACCTCGCCACCAACCATGCCCTAGCCTTGTTTTTTTCTGCAAAAACCTGAGTAGATTAGATGCCTTGGGTTGAGCTCAGTACAATAGGCAGCACATGACCAACGAAACAGAACTACCCAACAAAGCCTTTCCGCCTCCCCAGCTCAACAGATGCCTGTCCGTCCCCCCATTAAAACAAGGAGTGCCAGTGGTTCCACTTCGGCCTGCGGGGCCGTGAGCTCTGCCGCGGCGCGCCTTGGACTGTCCAAGCCTACTTTGTGCATGAGTACCGGGCGATGCGTCTTGGTATCTTCTAACTTCCAGATATAACCCATCCGAAACATGCATTCTAAGTAAATAGGCCGCGATATTAGTCCAAGGTTAGGTATGCATCGCCTGCGTCTGCAAGTGGGAAGTCGGAAGACCATTGCTTGGAGTGTGGGGTTCTCAGCAGTCTTTTCCACGCACAAGGAGAAGCTCTCCTTTCGTGTCCTGGGCCTCAGCCGCTATAGGCGGCTGGAGACGACGCGCATGGTCAGTGGGCCGCCGGGAAGCATTCTCGAGTTATGCATGCCGACGCCTCTGCAAGTAGGAGCAGGACATAAGGAAGTCTTGCCAAGTTAAGCCGCAGCCCAAAGTTGATCCCAGACTTCCTGCATCCTCCCGCTGTGGCACCTTGAGCCGAGGCAATTGTTGACCGATGGCCTCCAGCCTGTCTTTCGGTCGACTGCTGACAATGCTGGCTGGCAGCTGGTGAGGGGTGAAATCGGGATGCTGCGCCTGCCGGCGTCTGAGCTGCCCTACGACAACCTAAGATCTTGATCCGTGGTGCATGTCAACCTCCCCCCCCCCCGTACGCTGGCATGATCTGGCTTGCCAATGCATGTATGTTCTTGTGTGGGGATGCAGACGTGAGCTTGGACCAGGAAAGTTCCTCGGACTAAGAGCCTGTGTCGTGCCCTTGCAGGGGGGCCAGGACCTTGCACTCCCAATCTGTGACCCTAATTCGCAGCTAAGGATGGCATGCTGGCTTTCACATTCGAGTCTTGATTGCAAGAGGCCGAAGAGGGTCTAGAAGCAAGCGTCTCCGGAGGCTTGCGGAGCCGCTTGCATCAGCCCCGACTGGCCCAAGTTACGCCATGTCCGGTGCTCTTGGAAGGTCATGTGGAGAGGTTGCCTTGAGATGCCTTGAGCATGATCCTTACAACATCGTACAACTTGCAAGTTCAGCATGATCACTTTGCAGCTTCGGTCCTTTGGGACATTCCCTTCGACTCGTTTCGCCGTCATCTGTTCTTGTTCTCAACAGTTTTGCTGTAGACACCGTAGCCATTCCATGCTTCGCTCTTGAGGAGCACACCCTTTCAAAGCCCTTGGCAGCGGACGAAGAGCTTTACTTCGCTCTGACCTTCCCATATCCACTTGGCCAGCAGCCCAAGAGTCACGCCACCATGTTCGAGTGATACCAGCTAGCGACTCCTGTTTTGCACATCGTTGTACACCTCTCATCTTTGGTTCTTGCTTGAGGGTTGCAATTTGCCACATGATCCACATGCCTCCTCGACTGCTCAGGCCGGATCTACTCGCATCTCGACTCAGTGCTGCAGTCCTTGGTGCGGGCTGGAGCATATGTTCACCGCGAAAACCTTGCAACGTCTCTGGGAGGTTCCGCGCTGTCTGCACCGAAACGTTATGCCTGAGGATGTTCTGCGGCGGCTTTGTGGACGTATTGCCTGCAGGTCATCCCATCGAGCTGGTCACCATGACGCGCAGATCGCACCGGTCTGCACAGCGTCAGCCGCCCTTGCCAGACCTGACGCAGGAGGCCACTGATGATGCTAAGGGCAGCTGAGGTTCCCGAAGTCGTAGAGTTGCGGAAGACAAAGAAACCACTGCCACCCTTTCAGAATACTTTCATAGTGGATGGGTTCGCCTACATGCCGCCGAGTTCCTGCAAATGTCCGGTGCTTCCTAGTCCAGTGCAAAGTTGTGCGTCGCCACGAAGACCAGAACTCCCTAGGCACACTGCAAGCTTCTCCAGACCCCAATCGTGGTTTTTTGGCTTTCGTTTTTTGGCTGTCAGCTGCGAGGAAGCCCAACGACCATGGATCTTTCCGCGACGCCGTGCGATCTTCGTTAGTGCGAGAGTGCACCCTGGTGAGACGCCGGCCAGCTTCATGCTGGAAGGCCCGCGAGTCTATGCAAGTCTTCCGAGCATAGTAACTGCTGTCATTCTGGGGAATCCTATGCGTCTGAAAAAAAAAATTCCGGGCAATAAAGAAGCAGTTGCCCGCTTCAAGGATCGTTGCGTAGGTCTGCCTCAAATAAGCTGATGCAACGTTATGAGAGCTTATGATCAACGGAATATGGTACAGATGCGTGTAACCGTTGGTTGGTGTTGGATGCACTAAATGCTACATAGGGAGCAGATGCGAAGAGTTGAGCCACAGAGTGGCAAGACATCGTTGGGTCATGTAACGTATGGACAACTTATGAAACTCGTCAGTTGATTTGTTTGACCAGTTGGGAGTTGAAAGCTGGCTGACAAGTTCAATGGATTGAAAACTCTGTGTGTGTGTGTGTGCATGAACAATGCGCAACTTCGTGCAAGAGAGAGACAGCGAGAGACGGGTTACCTCCCGGCCCTAAAGTGAAGAAGCAGAAGAAGCAGAAGAAGAAGAAGAAGAAGAAGAAGAAGAAGGAGAAGAAGAAGAAGAAGAAGAAGGAGAAGAAGAATAAGAAGAGGACGCAGAGGAAGAGGAAGGGGAAGAGGAAGAGGAAGACGAAGAAGAGGAAGAGGAAGAGAGAGAGCCGACACATCATCATTAAAGCACAAAGTGTGTAAAAGGTTTGTTGCTGGAACTCAACTCGTAAGGAATATTGCGAAGATAACACGGACAAACTCGCAATAGCATAGATAGCACATTGCTGAGAAGAAATATTCTCATTGCAACTAGCCAAGCAGAGACATGTATTACAAGCACGAGGAGTATGGCACCCCACAACGAAAGGTTTCGGAGAATGAGTTTGTATCTCTAGTCGACAGAGGGAAGAAACAAGCTTTCTCAAGCAAAGAGTCTTCACTGATACATGCAGCTGCAAGAAGACATGCCGCAATCTTCATCGGCTTTCAATCTGTAATCATATGAGGATTAACAAGGAAAGTATTGAAGAAATATGTTCAAACAAGATGGTTACAGTTCAAAACTGTCGAGTTACAACAGCTCCGTTGTCATGCACGGCTTCAGGGATATGATTTCAGTAAATTCATGGCGGAAAGAAATTCATGGCGGAAGTTCCAGGAAGAAGACTACACCGCCGCCTGATGGAAGCGACTCAGACGATGGGTCGTAAAGCCTCAACGACTTTGAAGAATGAGGTAGTGTCGTAAATTGGGCTGAAGAAACATTAGGGTCGGAGAAAGGCAGGCATTGGCTTGACAGATGATACTAGGAAAGATTCTAGCAGTATTCTAGCATACAACGCAAAGACACCCGGAACCCTGGACCCTAAGCTCCCTAAGCTCCCTAAAGCCCTTAAAGACCCTTCAAGCTGATACCAGGCCTCTTGGACTTCCTGGCCTCTGCTGGGCCAGAAGCGACGGAGCTTCTCCGGCAGTACGTGGTGCACCTGGTGCCTGTGCTGAACCCCGACGGTGGCCGGGCGGCATGGGTTACGTTTAGGATGTTCAGGAAGGTCGAGCCTTCAGATTTTGGATGACTTGACGTGTTCTTAGGCGGCTGCTCTCGAAGTCGAACGGACCTGGCTGTTATAAAGACACAGAAACAGGGGTTTGCCTCGACAGGCTTTCAATCTGCCACTTGCTTGGCAGTCTTCAGCAACGTGGTACTTACTGCCTTGAGATCAATTGCTCACTCATGCTAAGGTGTGGCCTTCGGTCACCACCGCCTGGACATGCGTGCGGAGAACCTCAATCGGGTGTACGGGAAGGCGTTATGTCTTTTGTTTGTTGCCAGCAAGAAAAACTTGCAACCATTCCCAGATTGGAACCAAAGTGAGATACTTACTGGACATGCAAGATTTGCAGGCAACTCTCGAGCACCATCCGTCGATTGTGGCTGCACAAAAAGCTTGCCTGTGTGCCCATGAGCACCAGGTGGGCAACCGTGGCTTTGAAGCGTGGGCCAGTGCAAGTCATATCTAGCTTGTCACTAGCAGCGTTGGTATTATGTGGTGAGGGTGTGACGGTCACAGGCTGTTGGTGCTGCTTATTACCTCCTTGATGGCCTTCACGGCAGGGGGGCTTGCGTCTGTACCTGGACCTCCATGCCCACAGCAACCGCCGTGGTGCCTTCCTACTGGCTGATGCTGGCCGCGACGCTGAAGCTCGCCTCTTCGGTTGGGCGTTGGGTAGGCACGGCTCGACCATGCGCTCTTGTCGCCAAGATGGCACAAGTGTTGGCCAATGGCAAGCCCTCAAACTACCTCGTCATCCTGGATCCACACACTTGCCTTACTGTGACAACTCCTACAGCGCCATAGGGCCCTGAGTAGGTTGCTCAGAAGACTTTAGTGCTCTGCCATAGCTAACGGCAGCCCATGTGATGGACCTACTGTACAAGGGAGTTCCGAAGTGACCCGGCACCGGTGTACAGGTGCTGCAACATCTTCGAGTACTCACAGAGTGACTTCAGCGAGTCCAAGCGCGGAACTGGTAAGTCTACGATTGCTAAGATGATCCCCGGCCTTGTTGAAGTGCCATTCTGTCATGATGCGTTTGATTTCGCTTCCCCCCCATCCGCTTGCAACGTTGCGATGTGCTGCCTGCAGAGGACTGGAAACCCGCTCTGCTTCACTGTAGAATGCCACTACATCCGAGGCCTCACTAGCCGGCGAGCAACGGGCATGTTATACGACATATCATATGTAAACGCAGTCGTGTAAACTGCTAGGGCAGGGCGTCTTGGTTTGTGCAGTTCTGAGTTGCCCTCAAGCTTCAGACCAAACAACCCTAAACCCAAATCTACCTTAAATCCTGAACCCTAAACCCTAAAGGCCCTGAACCCGGTTGCCTGACTTCTGTAGGCCACCACAGTGCGGAGCCCTTCGGACCCCAAGCCTGGCATCGCCTGGGTTGGTCGCTCTGCCGGGCCCTGCTTTTCCTGGACTTTGCGCGCCGTCCTAGGCAGCAGGGTTGGGGAAAGTTGGGGAGTTCTTGTGTTTTGGGCTGGGGGCTTCTCCATGCCGTTTGTCGCCTTGACACCACTTTGGTGCTGACATGGCGCTTCAGGCGCAGCCTTTGCCCCCCTGGCACCGATGCTGCGCTTCGACATCGAGAGGCTTCCCTGTTTTCGCGTCGGTTCCTTTTGCTTTCTGGTCTGTGGTGTAGCTGCTTCGGAAGCGAGTTGGATGTGTGCCGCTGGCTAGGCTTTTCAAGGCTCGCCTCAAGGGTTACGCAAAAGTGAGTCTAAGACCGAAGCCCCTTGTCGCCCTTTTTTTGTAAGATCACGATGGCGGCTCGGCGGCTTCTCCTTGGAGAGAAGGCGGCCAAAGGCCTGGGATGGGCTGCCCGAGCTTTGGCTTCGTGCCTGTGCAATTGCTGCAGACGCAGTCGGTCATATTAGCACAGCTTCTTGCGCAAAGCAATCTTGCAGAGATGCATTCGGCACTGGGCGAGGCCAGTGTTTTGCGACAGTCTTGGAACATCTCGCTCTTGCACGGCTGCAGCATCTGCTTGTGCCAAGTAGAACGAGTCGATGTCATGGTGAATGTCGGTAGAAGTTGCAGCAGTAGATCGGCACTGTGCATCGCGTCGGTTTAGGTGTGGGTCTTGGTTCAGGCGTGTTTTAGCTACATTCTGGACCATCTGTTCAAAACACAAGCCCACTAACACATTCAAAGGATAAGATTTGCTTCTGTCTCTTGCCTACGCCATGGAGCGCTGGCAAGGCTTGCTTTGTGCACTATGTGCAGCCGTGGCCTTTGGTGTCCAGTATGCACCAGCCCCTTGGTTGAGGAAACCCCGTGTTTTGGCCGAGCGGCTTTGTGCTTGTGACTGCGCCCCTTGCTCGAGAGGTCAAGAAGTACGAGATTTACGATGGCATTACGTTTCAGTGGTTCATGTGTGCTGGAATCTTGATGGTGGGCTTCGTCTCCTCCGTCATCTTCGGTGACTTTGGTATGAAGGCCGGGCCAAGCCGAGACCCAGTATGTAGCCTTGTCCCATGAGGGGTCCATGGGCCAGGACAATGAATGTCTCCTGATCATCGGTGGCGGTGCACTCTGGGTTCCGCACTCAGCCTTTCATGTGCTTGTGGGGCTGAGACATGTGCTGCCAATACGCAAGCTAAGCCCCGCAGCATTAAACCCAAAACCTGTATCCCAAACCCCCAAGCTCTAGGAGGGGGGGCTGGGGGTTCCAAACTAGCTCTTGCTTGGGTGTTCACTTGTAAGGACTCCTATGGGGAACAGCCCTGTCTGTTCTCTTCAATCTTTCTTTGAGGCTCTGTCGAACTACCTGGTCTTGCCTTTGGTCAAGCTTCTCGGAATTGGCCTGGGCTTCTCGCTGTACCACTTTGTGGCCAGCCCGCACTTCGTGACTTCAAAAACCTCTTGGGGGGATTTGGGGGGCATTGACGTGATGAACATGGGGCGATTTTCAGGGAATCTTCTTGTCCTTCTGCGGGCTTCTAGTTGCTTTGGGAACGGCCCCAGGTCAATTTGATGGTGGGCTACATTGTGGGCCGTCTTGGCCTTTTTGACATGGCGCGGCTCGAGGGGAACTTGCACGTTTGTGTCGCTCGGCCTTGATCTTAGCTTCGATCTAAGCCACTGAGACACGGCGACGCCTCGGAAGATCCGTAAGGATGCAGGTTGCACTCTCATCCTGGCATCGTTCGTCATCATGGTTTTCGTGGAAGGCGCTTGTTGCTAAGTAGGGCGACGCAAGCTCGAACTTCGTGGCCTTATGGCAGCTGGCGCATGTGCAGGCGAGCAAGGTGATGCACATCAACCCAGCCAGCCAGCAGAGCTGCCCCCGCCCATGTTTCAGATCGACCCGAACTACCGCGCATCTGGGACAACTATAAGATTGGAGTTCTCGGTTAGCAGCGAAGAATACAGAAAAAGCGCACTGTGCTTGAGCCTTGACTATAAGGCCCGCTGTGGAGCTAGGTTGACCTTAGCTGCTCATTCTGAGGAAATGTACCACCGGTGGCGCCAAGGCCGCGCGATATGTACTTTGCAAGTTGGCAGGGAGAACACAAGAACTTGGTTCTTGCGGACGCGCAGCCTCCTTCTTAACAACCATATTCAGCTACATGCGTTGCAGCCGTCACCCTGGGGAGGCGAGTCGCGAGGTGCGAAAGATGCGCATCTCGCCTGAAGATGTTCGTGGAATTTCGTAGAGCTCGCAGTTTCGCCTTAGTGTCATGTCTCGGTTGGTGGCACCCACACTGGCCCAACCATTGAATCTGGCAACTCCAGCCCTTGTGTGTCTTGCCGTTCCGAGCCTCAGGCCTATGCTGAATGCCCTCCGCTCCACAATGTTCGGATATTCCGCCATGGAGCCTGGAAGCATCTGGGCCGGCAAAATCTCATTGCCTTTGACACCTCACCCCGAATGTTGGCGTACACTCACGCTTGGGGCACGGGGCTCCCCAAGATCATGAGATCAAGAACGCAGATTTTGAGAACGCAACGTGCGCACAACGAACGCCCTGCCATCCCTAACCTTGCCTTGAGATCCTTGAGGCAACCTGAAGGCCGTCGGTGGCTTTGGCCTTGGCCAGGTAGCTGCGAAGCCGCATGTTTCTGGCTCCGCGGAAACGGCCTTCCTGGATTCGAGGCAACTAGACATTCAAAGCCTCTTATAGCCTTTGTGTAGAGAGGCGTTAAGAGAGGTTTCTTTTTGTTTAGGGGAGATGTGTGGCGGTGGCGTATCCTCAGCCCCGTCCGCAAACTTTGCGCACTATAAACAAAGGTCTTAGGATCAGGAAGTGATGGAGTTGGGCTTCACAAGACCCCCCCTCTCTCATGTTATGATTGATGTGGTGTGTTTTGTTCAGAGGCTCCAGCACATGCCGCGGAACTTTAGCGAGCCAACTATCGTGCGGGACTGAGCCTCACATGGATGGCGCATAACATGGGCCAGAGGTCTTTTTTTTTTGCATCCCAGAAGAACCAACCCGACCCGTGGCCGTGAGGCATCCTCCAATGGCAGCCGAGATGCTGCTGCATCAGTAGAAAGCACACAGCCAGGCTGCTGGCATCGGTTCAGGGTGAAGACTGCAAAGCATCGGTTGAGGGTTCTTGCCAGGTGCGCTTCCAGTCCTCACCGCCAGTCCGCGAATGACTAAATTGCTTGGAGTGATCCTGGCGTTGTTCGCCGGGGGCTTGGCTGGCGTACAAAGCGCCACTTGGACGTTTAGCCACGTTTTGTGCAGCTATTTATTTGGGTGACGTTCCCCCCCCTGGTGCTTCGGCTCGGTGTGGTATTTTCATGGAGCATTTTGAATCGATGTTGAGTTGTGGACACTTGATCGGCGTCCTTGGCTTTTGATTTGTTGCTGTTTCGAGTTTGGCTAAGTTTGGAGGATATGCCATCCTTGTGGTCTGCCTTTATTCGAGCATCTGAGGTTCCAGCAGCCATCTACAATCAAAGGCACCCAGGTGCACACCCCACAGTCGTTGTTTTTCCACAATGCCTGGGGAGCCTCAACTTTCCTTAGTCGCAGGGGGGTTGATTGCCCAGTGTCAGTGCCTTGTCCATGTTGACATGCACGTCATCCCCCTGTGTGGGGGCTATTTCGAACTTATAAGGAAGATATCAGAACAGAGGCCCCGGAGTTCTGTGTTCATTGTACACGGCGCATCGGCGCTTACGTGTGAAAAGAACTCGGCTGCCGAGGATTTACATCTGCTCAAGTTTCATTTACCTCTTCTACGCAGCTGTGGCCCGCGCATCTGGCTGGTCAATTCCGCACTCGGAAGCGCGTCTGCAAGAGATGCCCTTGTTTCATGGGGCCGTAGAGAAGCTCTTCTTTCTGTGGGGGCTCCATGAGCCAAGGCCATTCGGCCTCCCTACTTCAGCGGCTGCATCTGGGCCGTTGGATTTTCCTTCATGATCGCAGCCTGGAAGCATCTTTGGGGTCAGAGTGAGAGAGAAAAGGGTAAAAGGTGGTGGACCTGAAGTCGCGAGTCTCACCCTCCACAAATCTTTGCCAAAACGGCGCCCCGCTTGACCATCACAAGCTGCGCCGAGGTGGGGATCTCAGCCCTGGGCTTCTCGGATGGCACGGGGTCCCCCATTTTTTGGGGGGGAACGGGGGGAAGGGGGGGTTGGGGGGGGGGGAAACATGAGAGGAGCGGCTGCCGAGGCTTCTCCATTGGATACACTCTGGACGCTGTGGGGCCCATTGTGGTGGCGAGCATGCTTTCAATCTTCGTGTTCCCGGGCAGAAAGCAGAGGGTTCAAGCCCTCAACCCCGAGCCGTGGCAGGCCCATGCTTTATGCCTTGGAGAGAAAAGCACCAAAAAGTAAAGGACTGCAAGCCCTCTTCTCTCAAAGAGGTGTCTTGACTCACACTGTAACCTAAACTCGAAAGAACTTAGCACTGCGGTCCCAGAACACTGAATCACAGTTGCACCAAGGTTCAAAGAGATCACCAGGCCCAGGCAGCTGATTCTGCACCCTGGCAGAAAGTGGCAAGGTTTCTGGCAACCACCCTGCCGCACTGCCCGAGACGAAATCGAGATCCCGGCAGGCAAGGCATTCTTAGGCGAGGGCTTGAGGGCAGAGGGCATCTCGGGGCCAAGGTACTGGTGCTCATTCGGGCTGCAGCTGATTGGCGTGGTCCTGATGACCACCTACGGAAAGCACAGCAGCTGACCTGCTCCTAAGCTGCGGCCCTCAGGTAAACCAGACTGTGAAAGTTCGTCGTAATCTAATTACTAGTGATCTACGAGCATCTCCAAGGAACCACAAAAAGAGAGCATTGCAGCCTTTAGAAGCAGGTTCTAGGAATGTAGACTGCGCATGCGTGCGCCCAAACACAGTTCTCCAAGATCTGTGAATCTGAGCGTGCAAAGCCCCCCCTTGTGTACAGATTTGCTGAGCGCTAAAGCTGGGCTCAGCATGATATTTGAGGGGACAGAGACTCTGCAACTGCGCTGGAGTAAGCGATTCTGAAAAGGGAAGTGCCCTGCATGAAGTTCGGAGTCACGAGCCTCAATGGTTGTCATGCAGCCTAAGACTTAGTTTAGTTTCCCTAACTCGATGATGACCTCTCTGATCTGTGCTTGCTAGCACCAAGTTCTCATGCGGAGGCTGTGGCCCATCATCGGAAGGCCAGGTTGCATGCCGTCCGGCATCTAAGCCCTATGCCCCGACGTCCGCCGTCAGTTTCAAAGATAGGACTCAGTGCACCAAATCCATATCCACCTCGTTAGGAATGTCACCCCTTGGACCGAGAGCATCGCAGAGATGTCATTGGCTTGGAAGAAGAAACTCACTCAGCAAGCCCAATTGTTTACGTGGGGTGGTGTGCCATGTTGGGGTTGCCCTTGCAGGGATTCTGGTTTGGGCTCCTCCCAAAGAGGCAGAACAGGGACCCTGATTCAGAAGCCCTAAATCCTAAGCCCTAAACGCCCTAAACGCCCTAAACCCTAAACCCTAAACCCCAAACCCTCAAGCCAAACCCCAAACCCTAAACCCCCCTAAAGCCCCCGAACGCGGGGCCTCCCTGCAGGGCCCAGCCGCTTTGCCCCCGAGTTCGGAAAGATCCTCGGACCATCGCCGACGCGCCCAGCTCCCATGGCTCTGCTGAAGAATCCGGCCTTTTGGCTAAACAAGTAAACCAAGGAAGCTTGTTGGAGGGTCCTGCCATGTTCCCTGTGTAGTTGGGTGCGTGTGTTTCGAGACAGGCTTTCTGACTTTGACTGGATTGAAGCTTGGAGAGTCATGTAGGGTGGTTTGATCACATGGCGCTACATGTCAAGGAGCTTTCTTCTATTAACGTGCAGCCCAAGCCATGATCGTCACGGCTCCATCAAAGGGTTTGACGTTTCCAGACGGTTTTGGAGCACAGGAGCTGATCGATCAGACGGTTGAAATCATCGAGTCCTTCATGGCAAGCCCCGTCACGCTTGTAACGAAAGGAGGTTTTCAGGAAGGCAGGCAGATGGCACGCGAAGGCCCATCGGCGTGCTTGCGAACTTGCAACAGCTTGAAAACGCTCGCCGGCAGAAACAACTGTGCGAGTATCGCAAAGCTGTCATCCCTCTTGGCTCCCGGATTCTGAGACTTGCGAGAGCCAGTTTAGAGCCACGGAATGCTCAGCCATGACTGATAGCCCTCCTGGTCATGGATACCTGCCACAGCTTGCAATGGGAGGCGGGCCCGAGGGTCGGAGGTTTTTTCCAGGGCAGAGAAGTCGCGGGTTTCGAGCGGCCTGGTAGTTCGAGCTATCATGTGGTTGTTCCAAAGGAAGGTCCCCTTCCAAAGGGGACCCCATTTTCGAGCGGCCTCCACGTCTTGTCAGAATTTGCTAGATAGCCCGCACTTCAAAGCTGCGCATCCAACAACGTGGGTTGCAACCACGCATGCTTCAAGAGAGATGCTTGGAGCCTTGCAGCGATTGTCGCCGCTTCTGGTCTTGTGATCTTTGTTGTTGGAGGCCTGACCCCACCAAGAAGAATCCATGCATCTTCGGAGCTGGCTCGACCGGGCTATGCCTCCCTGTCCAAGGACCCCGGACGTAGATGTTCATGCACGGCTAGTTCGCTGCTGGATCTTGCATGTCTTGGAGCATACTTGCATTTATCTCACACCATTCCGGCAGGACGAGTTTGAGGATGACGGGGAGACTTTGCGCACCAAAGTGCGTGTTCTGCTGGGTCTTCTGAAGACCTCCAAAGCTGTCGTGGCCTACACAGGTTCTTTTAGCTGATCAGATTGTTAACCACTCCAATTTTTTTCATAGCCTCTGGAAGTGGATCGTTGTAGCCAGTCCTGCTATGTAATTTCTATGTCTTGCTATGTATTGCTATGTGTTGCTATGTGCTTTTTCGTTGCTGCCCGCCATTTTTGGGAACTCCGGGTGCTCGGACTGCAAGGTGCTGGCATCTCCACCGCGGCCGGGGTTGGCGACTATGCAACAGCTGAAGATTCCCAGGTGGCGGTTCGGACGCCTGGAAGCGTGGCCAGCTCGAAGGTTAGACGACTGCACACGTCTGAACACTGTGGTCACCATGGCCGTGTTTTGCCGTGCTTCTCTCTCCACATAAGCTAAGGCGGAGCCAACAGATCCGGACGCACCACCGAAGTTGCGGTCGCCCTACGAGGCAGTGGTAAACGGGCACCACGAGACAAGTCGGCTTAGTCAGCAGAATGTTCCCAAAGCCATCTGCGCCCTGCTGTGTTTTGTCCAGATCAGGCGCAGCCGACCATGATGCACCGAGTATTGGTTTCGCTGTGGAGACTCGGCTGCACAAGCTGTTGGGTCCTGGGCATTCTTCAGCTGCCATTTAATCCCGATAATTCCTACTACAGTTTTTCCTGTGGCGCCTTGTTAGTGGGCTTTAACTCGCTTTCCCTGGCTTGCGGAGGAGGCTTGACATGCTCAGCTTCTGGGTTCAACAGAACCACGATGGGCTGCCGCAGAAAGCCGGGTTCCCCCAATGGCTCCTAAATGAGATCCACGGCTCGTGGTGTCTTGGCAGAGTTGCGGGTGCGAGGTTGAGGGTTAATAGGGAGCTGGTCCGGTGTCTAGCAGATGCCTTATCAAGGTTGAGGGGCTGTTTCTTTCGCGGCCTTGCCGGTCCAAGTTAGACAGTTTGTCTCATACGGCATTATGGGCAGCAGTCCTTGAGTTGCTGCGACACAACAAGGTATGATCCGAGCAACCCTGTCATACCCATGACTGGTGAGCTCCGAGCAGACCTTTTCCAAGATTTGCTTCTGGGCCAATCGATGGAGGGGAAGCTTGAGGGGAACCTGGGGGGCCATCCTTGCTGCCATGTTCTGAGGCTGGAGTGGGAGGCCAAAGCCGACATGGTCCTTGCTTTCGGTACATCCTTGGCTGGGATGAATGCAGATCGGCTGGCCACAGGTGTGGCGGAGCGGCATCAGAAACTCCTTGCATGCCAAGGTGTGGCTGATGCAGGGTCGGCTGATGCAGGTGGTCTGGTCATCTGCAGCTTGCAGCGGACACAGCAGCTAGGTGCCCACAGAAAAGCCACGACGGGTTTGTGTTGCATGATGAGCCTCCGACTGGCGACTGTCCATTTTGTGAACTGTTCATTGTTGAGTTGTGCACAACGTCCAGCATTTCTGCTGCAGGTACGATCACTTGGCATCCATACGCCTGTGGGCCAAGCTCGACACGTTAGCAGAGGTTCTTGTGCAGGAATTTGGGGAGCTTGGCGCCGAATTGGGACCGGCTGCCGGACCGTCCCGGGCCACTTATCCAGTTGAGGCCTTTGTTAGCAATCGCAGGCTGCTTAAGGAGCGCACGGTGGACAGAGAGAACGACATCTATCTAGTACCGTACAACCCCACTACCGGAGTTCGCTTGGAGAACCACGAGTCTCTTCTTACCGACCAGCTCTGCCGCCTGGACTTATCTGAAGATGCCCAGGTGAAGCTGACACAGGGTCTGTATGCAGGTGATACGGGGGAGGTGGTGGGCAAACAACTGGAAGGCCACTGGAAGATACGTTTCCAGCATCCTCTGAAGCCAGGCGCCAAGCTGAAGCGGCCATTTGAGCGAATCCTGGGCACTTGGTGGGTTGCAGCGGCAGTCATGGGGAGAGTGCCGCAAATTCCTGTGGTCAATGTGTGAGGGTCTGTCGCCTCTGATGATTTCGTTGTTGCGGGGGGCTGATCTCCAGAGACCCCGAACCACATTGCTTGCAGAGGACTTGTTCACATGAGATGCTCTTCTTAAGCAGGCAGAGCCGTTCAAGCACAGATCACCGTCTACGCCAAGTTCAAGGAAAGACTCAGCAGGCTGAGAGCAGCAGATGCCCAAGCCTGTAGCCAGCATGCCTGCCGAGTGCGGCATCTCCGCCAACGGGATTGGATGATGTGCCGTATTGTCAGCCTGGAGGGACCATGTGCGTCGACGCATCTCAGCGTGATGGGCCGCAGTTGCCAGTGCCAACAGTGCGAAGGGGCACCGGACACGTGCTCAGTCCTCGGCGTGGGAGCAACAAGTATGGCGAGTTGCACTGAGACTTTGTGTTGCCACACTCCTTTTCATGTGCACTTCCGCTTCGCAATGATTCGCAATGCAGTGGTGAGTGATGCGCCATCTTGCCAGGAAGGCGGACAGCAGTTTCTTCGGCTCCACGAGTCTTCAGGCCGTCGACTCTGGCCCCTAGAAGAGTCCCCTGGGAGAGTTCCAGAAGAGGGCTTGAACATGCTTGAACCTTCTCTGAACTCAAGAGCGGAGCTGGAAGGCGGCCTGGTTCTCCCGGAGGAGGCTGTGAGGCTGAGAAGTTTACACTGAGAGAAGTGTGCAGAGTTCTGCATATGTTTGCCCCACCCATGTTTCTTTTGAAGTCTCTTCTGGTACCATTGTCGTCCATTGTCCACGTCACATCGGTGGGCAATGTGAGGCCTTGTATGGACCAAGAGGGCCTCGACCTCAGGGACGTGAACAGAAGATCACTTGGCCCCAGGAAGGGCCCTTTTTTTTGTGTGTGCTGGGCATTCCCACGGTGGCCCCGATGGAGATTCAGATGGTCAGTCTGAGCATTCGGGATGGTCCTGCTTTGAAAGCAGAGTGCTAGCCCCTGACCCAGCTCTCCGGCAAATCCGAGGCTCCTTCTTTTACGGGGTGCTGTGCAAAACGCCCATCTCCGTGCAGCCATCGCCGACGTCCACCGTGCTTGGCTTCTTGAAACTTGGCATGAAATGCATGAACCAACTTCCACAGAAACCTTGTCCACCATCCAAACCCCTTCCAACAAATGGGCATGACATCAGGCTCAGCTGTGAGGATTATCAGCTACCGCATCAGAGGAAAA